TAATGTTACAAGTCCATGCCATATATAATAAATGGACATTTGACCTTCAGAAGTAGTGAGGGGGATTTTTGTCAAAGAAATAGTGTCATATAGAGTATAGACGTTAAATAATTAAAATAAAAAAATTTTTTTGATTACATAAAAATAGCAAAAAATAATTGGTCAATTCATGTATTGCTTCTTCAATATCTCGATAATGCTTCTTTAAAATATTGTGAGGTCGCGTCCGTTATTATATAAACACGTGATTTCAAGGTTTCACTTTAATTCTACATTTCACAATCCATTCCCAAATAACACTGTCACTATCACTATCACTTCATTCCATCATACCAATTCTTCGCTGTATAAAACTATGGCAGTTCGTAAATAATGAATTTCTTTAAGTAATAGTTTTGCTTTGTAGCTTATCAAATAAAGCATCATGATTACAACAAAAGAGACTTCATCATTATCACTGGCAATTTTTCTTGTTTAATTTCTTATATATATCTTGGAGAATATGATTGACAGGACGAATACCACCAACATTAATTGTGCAATTAATTATTCCACAATTTATTTTCTAATTGCTCTAATCATGTTCATGTACTGAGTAGTAAGAATGATATCAAAGAACTCTTTTAATTCGGTTCAAGCATTTTCCTTATTGTTGAAAGAATATTCTCAATAACTTTTAATATAGTCAAACCTCGTTTCAACGAATTAAAATTAAATTCGCGTTGCAACGAATGTTTAAAAATTTTGCTTCACATATAAAAAGTATATAAAATTCGTTGAAACGCGATAGTAATTTAGTATAACGAATTTTAGATGCAATTTCCCTGTGTCCGTCCCTACAGATTCGTTGAACGAGGTTTGACTGTATATATATATATATATACATATACAATGTACCTCGGATGCAATTAACTCTAAACCAGAGAATTGTCTATATTTTTCTTTTTGAATTAATTCATAAATTTCTTTATCTTCTTCATGTAAAGGAACATTAAGACAACTATTCTGTTATCAAACAGTTACAAGATGATTTAATAAAGTGTATATAAATTTTTATTGAAGTAAAAAATATATAATTTACCCATGAATCAACCATGATTAAAAATAATTTTTACACTAGAAAAAAAAAATCCCAATCTTTTTTTTTTTTTGATAAAAAATAATTAAATATCACGTGTAACATTGGGTCAAATCTAGTCATACATGGAAAAAATTCTATACTATTTATTATTCAAAGAAATCATCATTTTCAATCATTGTTAAATTAGGATCATCAGCTAATAATAAACAAATGATATGATTGTTAATATTAGTATCATTTTGGGATCACGATTTATATAATTATCATAAAAATCATTATTATTTATTATTTATCATTTACCTTTAAAATCTTGCTCTTTATGATGATGTTGCTGTTGATTCTTTGGTTTCTTATTT